GCTACTCCATTGGATCTGATGAAGTGAATTGTGGCTGATGAAAGCTTATGCCTTTTAATAAAAATTTGTTAGAAAAGATGCTACGGGACTCCTTCTGATTTTTGATTACTGCAGACTAACACAACTCTTTTCCTGACAATGTTTACAATTAATTGCAAGAAGTTTCCTGAGAGAAGGAAAACCTCATTGTTCCCTCTTCCTCCCAAACTTGCTTGAGTTTATTAGGAGTGGAAAAATGAGGGAAGGGAAACATCTGGGAGAGCTATTATAAATCTTTTTGTTAATATTTATAATGTGTCAGCATATTTCCCTCACCCTTAGAATAAATACAGTCATTCCTGTTGCACTTTCTTAAAGACCCAGTAATATTAACTCACTACAGATCATTAAATTACATCTAAGCAGGAGACCAAAGACGCTCACTACTTGTTTTAAAGTATTTGATGTTGGATACAGTCCTCTCCTTTTCTTCAAATTCTCTCCTGGGCCAATTTTCTTCTCTCCCCCCTTTTAAGGATTCATGTGTGGGCAGATGGTAACATTTCATATGGCGTGGGTATGGCGTCATTGTTGCGCACAGGAAGAGTTAAGGGAGCCCTTCCTGCAAACGTCTTCCGCTCTTGCCTCACAAGTACAAAGTACACAGAAGTGCCAAATCTGGGCTGCATGGGATTACCAGACATCCGGTGAAAGGCTCCCGTCCTTCATCCGGCAGGCATAGCCTTAAAAATCAAATATTGTCCGGCTTTTTAAAGCATCTTGTCTGTGTGTGTGTGTTTAATTTTAGACTATTTTCACAACAGCAGTCATTCAAACTTCCATGTACTATGACCTTGTAAACTGTCCTTTACTTTCTTTCCTCCACCCATCGATAGAATTTGATTTACATTATTTATTTCCTGATTCCAGCAATCAATTCAGCCCCTTTAAATCTATGATCCTGTACAGGTAGTCCTCGCTTACCGACGGTAATTGGGACCGGGAACTCTGTCATTTACAACAGCAATTCCAGCAATTCCAGTTGCCGTTGTTAAGCAAATCTCACATGGTCGCAGTCACATGATCTCCATTTGTGACCTCTTGCCGGCTTCCCCATTGACTTTGGTTCTGGCAAAGAAAGTCTCAAATGGTAATCAACTGACCGCAGGATGCTGCGACATTGTAATTGCAGGTTGGCTGCCAAGCACCGAAATCGCGATCATGTGACCACAGGGATGGTGTGATGGCCACAACTACGAGGACCTGTCCTAAGTACCCCTCATTCAGCACCACTGTAACTTCAAACAGTCACTGAATGAGTGGACATTAAATGAGGACTACCTGTAGTCTATAGATCACATGACTTGCCAGACTATGATGAAATATGAAAAGCTTGTTGTCAATTCTATATTATCGCTAGCATATGTTCCTGAAAATTTGTTGGAAAAATATTGCAATTGAAAATTCTTTGCCTGTTCAGAGGTCTGGTAACCCTAGGACTGCATGAATTCAGAACAGGTCTAGATGGCAGTAGAATTACTGTAGTTTTATTTCTTTTCTGCCATCTAGTGGCCATTTTCAGCCCAGGTCTGCCAGACAGTTTCAGATGGTGTTTTATGGTTTAGTCTTTTCTTCATCAACATTTATTGCAGTGTTGGACTTCAGCTCCCAGAATTCCCCAGCCGATACATCTTGATATTGCTCAAGGTTGAGAAACAGTGGTTTAGTGGAAAGAAGAAAGGCGGGGGGGGGGACATGAGTTACACCCAGAAGACAGTATCATGGGCAAGTATGCAGAGTTCAACATATGGGTTCATCCACCTCACTTCTTCTAGTAACTTGTTAGACCTCCCAGGTGGATTTTTATCCAAAGCTGAGACCTACTGACCTTTTCCATTGATGTTAATCATAATCAGTTATACATTTTGGTCGGCTTTGATTTAATAGCACAATCCTCTGCAGGCCGGTACAGCATGCCCCAGTATTAAAGAAGCATTACTTCCAAGTGAATACAAATAGGATTGTTGTCTATATTTATATGAAGTTGAAGATCTTTTTTAAAAAATCCAGAAACTACTTTCCTTGTTTTTAAATGATGCATGTTCGTGTTACAGCAGAAATAGCCTTAGGCGTTCCCTGGCAGGAAGAAATGCCGTTTCCGAGATAGTTTTTGGCATCCACCAGTACTTAGTCCCTTGTGGGAGAAAGTCAGAATCTGACCAGAAGTTTGCTTGTTGGCATATGACAAGGCAGATACATAAGTGCGTACGTCCGGAGGGGGACAGTGGAGAGAGGAAGAATGCACTCTGCCCATGTTCAGAGCACTCTCGTTCCTTCTTCTTTAATACGCATTTTTTTTAAGGCTAACGTTTCGCAATCAGGTCAGATACTCCTGCAGCTACAGCCCCGAATTGCTTTTGTCCATCCCCGCCGAGTGACCCACCCGGGAAACGAGGCTTCATTAGCGCCCAGATTCCGACGGGAAGGGCGGAGCAACGGAGAAAGAAAGCCTGGGAGCCGGAGAGGGTGGGCGGGGAAGGGATCGCCGCGGCTGCTGCCGCCTGAAGCCGGCAGGGGGCGCTTTGGTTCGTGCCGCTGCGACCGAGGACCCCGCCTGGGCTCCGCCTCCTGC